CCTAGTCTGCATCCCCCCTCCTCCTCGTGCTGCCTCCTCCCTCCTCCCTCCCCCATCCTGCCCCTCCGACCCACTCCTCCCGCGCCGCGGCTCTGCAGACCTCGTCGAACTCCAGGCCTCGATGGGGCCGCCGGACCCACGCTGCCTCGCGGAGACAGCTCCGCGGCACCGGAGACGCGCGCCGTGCTGCCTGCCGAGCCGCGCGCCGTGCCACGATCGAAAGGCCTCTCTCTCTCTCGGGCCGGGCCCCTGCTCGAGTGCCCTCCCACGGGCCGTGCCCCTCCGTGGCGCCTCCCCCCCACGCGCTCCCCGGCCCCCCCCGGCGGACACATCTGCTCTGCCATGCTGATCAGCTGGCCCCCGGGCCACGGAGCGGCTCCAACCGCACACGGTCAAGTCGACGCGGCCGCAAAGGGCGTCAAGGACGGCCACTTCGGCGGAGCAGCCCCCCCTGCGCCAGCCCGTGAACCTTCTGCCCCGATGCGACGTCGGCTCAGCCGTCTGAGGGTCTACCCGCTTCAGCGTGGGCGTTGCTCTGCATGCTCACTGGGAGGGCGGCTCGGTGTTCCAGCCTTGCTTCCCCTCACCCCCAAGAGCTCCCCCGAAGGCCGGGCCCCAACTTGAGCACCCTCCCGTGGGCCGTACACCAGCCCGAAGCACTCTCACCCCAGCGTTTCCTGCTCCCCCTCGCGCCCCTGGCCTCCTCCTGGCGGACTCGTTTCCTTCTCTATTTGTCGTTTGGCCCCAAAGCCAGGTTGCAACCCAGTCATGTGAGCCGCCGCGTGGCAGAGCTCGTCGAGATCGAGACCTCGCGAGGGTCCCCTGGCCCACGCAGCTCCACGGAAACAACTTACCGGTAGAGGTGGAAACGCCTTGTGCCGCACAGCCCTTCCAAGGCACCCCATTTCAAGCAGTCGGCACGGCCACATGAAAAGCGGAGCGGCAGGTGCCGCGGGTGGGCCCAAAGAAATGGGCGGCTCAGCCGTCCCACAGGATAACTCTTGGCGCAGCCGCCTCAGTGCAGGAGATCATTTCCCTCATGTTTCGGCGCATCGGAGGGCTCCATAAAGGGGGAGAGTCGGGCGTGGTCATGGCCTGTGCCAGTGATCTCAGGGACTACCATTTCAGCGGGGCAGGGCTCCCCCCGTCAACCCCGAGTGTCTTCTCAGACCTCTCTTCATCCTCCAAGCTACTGCGGCTTACTCGAGTGCGCTGAACCACCACGGACCCCAAGGGGGCAGAGAGGAACCCATGGGCGGAAACCATGCAACGCCCAGGCAGCATTCCGTGAGGCCACCAAGCCCGCGCCGGCCCGTGCTCTGGACGCCGCGCGTGGCGGCTGTCCCGGCCGCGTGGCCGATGCTGCGGGCAGCTGGGCGAGCTGGCAACATACCTTCCGAGCCCTTCCTGTCCACCATCCCCCGTCCGACTCCCGGGTCGCTGTGCCGCCCCCCTTCGCTGCCAGGAGCTGCGCCGAGGCTCGGCGCACGTCTCCTTTGGGAGCGTGCGACCCCGCCCCCCCGGCGCCGACGGGGCTGCAGAACATCCCGGGGGGGAGCGGTCTGTTCTCAACGCAGCGAACCCCCAAGCCCCAGGAGTCGCAAGAGCTGGAAGGCCCAGCTGGCAAGAACCGAAACTCCACTGCATGGAGATATAGTTTCGAGAGGGCGTTACAGAGACAGCGGGTCGCATAGAGAGCAGCAGCACCAGCAGAGAAGGAAAGCAGGCGGCAGGGATGAAAGAGGAAGAGTCATGAGCAGCAGGGAGAGGGGCAGGAAAGCGAGCGAAAAGGAAGGCAGCAAAGCAGAAAGGAAGAAGAGCACGGCAAACAGCGCGCCGCAGCAGGGGAACTGGAAACGAGCACTGCAGGCCAATCAATATGAAGAAGCGCGAATAACCTGCCCCGCAGGCAGACGCAGCGGCATCCAGACACGGTCCACGCCCACATCATCAGCGAAACCCGTGCAGCCACGCGGCGAGAGAGAGAAAGGAGAATAGAGAGAGAGAGGACGACGGGGGACGAAGGGCGGAAAGCAGTGCAGACGCTACGGAAGCCGAACGGAGGGCACGTGTGGCAGTCCGACGGATGCGTCGGGGCGCCCAGCGCCCGCCCAGGCCGCTGGAGTGCAGCGACCGCTCGAGCCAGGAGCGGCCCCCCAGAGGGTGCGGACCACTGCGTCGGGCGGCCGGGTGCGAACCAGCCGGTCCCTGGATGCAAACAGTAGGGGTCCACGTGCGAACCCTGCCCCTACCCCCCACGATTTCTGAGAGGGAGGGGGTGGGGTTCACTTCGCTCAGGAGCTCCCGAACGAAGTGAACCCCACCCTCCCTCTCAGAAATCGTGGGGGGTAGGGGTAGGCTTCGCATGTGGCCCCCGAAACATGGGAAAACGCCAAGTAGCGGAGCACGTGCCAAGGAGGGGGGGAGAAGGACCAGAAGAACATACCCCAGAGAGGCTCGCCACCAGGCGCACCATAGACCAGCAGGCTTCCGAACACGAGGAGGCATGCGAGGCTGCTGTCCAACAGCATGTTAGGAAGGCACCAACTATACACCAACACCGATCCTGGCCAGGATCGGTGTTGGTGTATAGTTGGTGCCCTCCGACATGTGCCGCTCGCGGAGGTCCGCTTCGCGGTGGTAGACCTGGTACTCGAGGCGGCCGGAGTCGAAGACGCTGTCGTGCAGCCGCAAGCGCTCGACGCGGCGCTGGAGTCGGAGCAGGAATCGAGGGGATGGGAGCCGGAGTGGGAGCTGGAGTCGCGTGGATAGGAGCCAGAGTCGAAGATGCTGTCGACTGGACCTGGAGTTGGGGTCGGTGCCAGAATCGCGGGGTCAGGAGCCGGAGTCGGAGACGCAATCGACCAGACCTGGCAATGTATCCGGAGCAGGAGTCGTGGGGATAGGAGTCGGAATCGGAGACGGCGATGGTGTCGTCTGGACCGGCTGCTGGAGCCAGGGCCAGAGTCGGTAAGAAGGGAGCCGGAATCGAAGACAGAACAGCTGACGTCCAGACCTGGTGCTGAGATCGGTGCCGAAGTCCCACGTCATCATTGGAAGAAGCCAGAGTCGGAGGCTCTCGTCTGGCCCCGGTGCCGGAGTCGAAGCCGGAGCCTTGAGGATAGTAGCTGGGATCGGAGGCAAAGGCTTTCCCAGCGCAGCCGGGACGGCCGTGTCTTGAGGCAACCGACCCGCGCCATTCCTCCGCGCACGGGGCGGGAGGATTGCGCAGGACAGCACATACCTACGCCGTTGCAGTCCGAGTCAGCAGCAGCGACTCCATGCCAAGTGTCCTCCAGTCTGGGGGGCGGGATTTGCCCGCCCACGTGTTGTGCCGAAGTATGCCCTGACCTGCAGAAATTCGACGCAGATAACATGCATATCACGAAATTCAGAGCGGCTGGCCCTGCTCGCTGCTTCCCGGTGGCCGCCCGGATCAGGACGCAGCCGCGCGGACCTGGTGCTGGAGTCGGAGCCGGAGTCGCGGGGATTCGGGAGCGGCCAAGAGGGGGGTGTCCAAGAGGGGGGGGTGCAAATCATGACCGGCGGCATGTGCGTGGCCCAGCGGGGGGATCAGGGACGTCATGAAATAAGAAGCGGCGCCATGAAACCTGGGGAAATCTCATGGCCCCCGCCATGATATCCCCCCCCCCCTAGTCATCACCCCCCTCTTTGCCGCCCCCGAGACTTGGACGGGCCCGTGGTCCTCTAGGCCCGGGAACACCAGCCGCAGGGGCCTGCGCGGGGACCCCGCTGGCGGGCAGCCCAGCTCCAGCAGCTCCTCGTCGTCGTAGGCGTCCAGCCCGAGCTCGGCGCGGGGCAGCACCTCCGGCAGCGCGAGGGGGCTGCCCGCGACAGGCGGAGGCGCTGCCGACCGGGCCTCGCACTGCGATTGGCGCCCTGGCGTGCCTCGGAGGCTGGTGCAGGCGCCGGCCCTTCTGGGGGGAACAGGCTCCGGCCGCCGGTCGAGGCGTAAGCGGCTGCTCCATCCCCTGGGGATGCCGGCCCACCCTCTGAAGCCCCTGTCGGACAGCTGTCATGAGGGATTAAAAAAACGGCACTACCCTGGGTTACAAGTGCGTGGTCTGTAAACCTCCTGGGGCCCCCCAAAGCCTAGAGCCGCCAGGACGCGGCACATCACGCAGGGTTTGCCCTGTCAGCCCACAGGAGTTTCAGCGCACAGCGCCTCGTAAACCAGGGTAGGGGCGTTTTTCCTGCCCTTGATGTCATCCCCGGAGTCCCTGCGGACAACCGGCACGTCGCCATCCGCATTTGGCCTCGCTCCCCTCGCCCCACCGTCCACTGCGTCGTCCCCCTGCGACCCCTCTGAATAGCACCTCTCCCTCTCTCCTCCTTGTCCTCCCTCCCCCCTCCCCCTTCCCTGTTCTGTCCTCCCCTCTCCAAGAAATTGAAAAGAACCAAAGGGCGGAAGCCTTGACACGCCCAAGGGGGCATTCCGTGACACGCCAGGCCCTTGCCGAGGTAACGGTCTGGACGCCCGTTCGAAGAACACCTGCGATCTCAGTCGTGATACAACCAGCCCCATAGTCTCCTCTCTCCAAAATTTCCTCACCTTTCCTTTCCACTCCTGGTCCTGCCCGAATCCCACCGCCTCTCTCCCTGTGCGCCCATTCTTCACCCTGGGAAGCCTCGGCAAGGCATCTGAACCCCCAAGACCCACCAGTCGGTGCGCATTGGCCCATACTTGGTGGCCACTTGTTGCTGAAGGACGAACCAGCCTGCCGACACCAAAGGTGGACCGCGGTTTTTGGCACCCTTGAGCCTGGAGAACACACAATCTGGGAACATCCTCCTAGATTTAGGCGCCCACTCGCCCCTAGCGGGTTCCTGAAGTCCTCTGCAATCCTCCTCTTCCTCCTCCTCCTGCTCCTCCTGCTCCTCCTCCTCCTCCTCCTCCTCCTCCTCCTCCTCCTCCTCCTCCTCCTCCTCCTCCTCCTCCTCCTCCCCACCCCTGCCCCACGCGCGAAGCCACCCCTGGCCTGAGCCCAGGCGCCGGAGCTCCTGCTGCAGCCCGCGGATGGCAACCGAGGGGGCGATCATGTCGACCTTCATGGGCCCCCCCCTCAGCCTCATGAGCGTGTCTATCATCGACGCTACGTCCACGGTGCCGGCGTAGTTCGGGTCCATGATCTCGAACAGGGCCTCCCTGCCCGCCCCTTCGACCTCCACGTCCAGCTGCAGCAATATTCGCTGGATGACGCTATCCTCGATCACGGCGAAGAACTCGTCCTCTGTCAGGTGGATGCTGGCAACGGAGTCTGGGTCGTCGTCTGGAACTTCGGACACATCGTGGTTCCTAAACACCGAGGGTAGGGAGGTGGCGAGGGGCGAGCGCGGACTAATGTCTCCCCAATTACCATCCCGTCCGTTGTCGCGGATGGCTTTGCTCTTGCCCTGCTGGACATGCTTGGAGACGCACTGGATCCTGCGCACCAGTTCCCTCAACTTCCGCTTCACGTATTTGTGCTCGTACACGCTCCGCAGTTTCTGCTTCGTCTCGTTGTACTTCAGCCCCACCATTGTGGCCTCCACGAAGATTGCGGTGAGCAGCCGACCCAGTGGGGTTCCAGGCATTTGAAACGCTTGCCCCCCCGCCTCCTCAGGGGGTTACGCTCCGCCGCTGCCCCGAAACCCGGCCCGGCTTGCCTCCGGAGGACAGCGGAGAGCTGGAGCTATACGACTTGAGGTCTGGAGCTCGATCGCCCGCTTCTCCGGCCGAGGCGGGAGGCCGACGGCCAGCTCGGCCCACCCGAGCCAGGACCGCGGCAGTGACGGCTGCCAGATGCATGTTCCTCCAGAGGGGCTGGTGCTTCATCGAGGTTGCTTGAGTGCGCGCTTCGAGGAGGGGCGGGCTGGAAGAGTGGAGCGGGGTGCAGCCTCTGTCCCCTCGCCCTGCTCCCTGTTCCCCCGTGGACGAAAGGAAACCCAGCCGTCGAACATGCTGAAAATCCGCCGGCCCGTCGGCGTGTGTCAGACGCTTTTCCGTTTGAGTCGTCGTAGGTGTCGTCGTCGTTGTCGTCGTCGTCGCCAGTCCCAAGAAGGTTGAGGAACAAGGAGAAGGAACGTCGACAGTAAGTCTATCCCCACTCCCTGAATCCCTTCCCTGCCGCGGGGGGTCCAGTGGTCCCAGGGGGGTGGAAGCGTGTTTGTCCCGCGGGTCAGAATACCCCCCCACCACGGTACAGGCGGGTTCCAGGGGGATTTGGGCGGGACGGTCCCGGATCAAAATACCGCCCCCCCCGGGGTCCCAGCAGGTCCTCGGGGGGTCGCCAACGGGGCTCCAGGGGAGATCCTGCCTTCAGGGTCGGCGGCACCGGCCGCAAGGCCTTCGCAATATCAAGACGGAGGTTTTTCGCTGTTTTCAGCCTCTGGGAGCCCACGCCAGACATCTGGGCCATCAAAAACAGCTCACGATAAAGAAACGCCACATGGGAAGAGGCCCAGACTATCGGGACCCCACACTGAGAAAGCCAAGAAAACTAATCTCTAAGAGCAAGCACCGCCAGCCCACGCCTCCATGAGGGCCCCTCCCTGTCACGGTTTCCACGGCCAGGGGCCGAGTCGCCCTTGAGAGGGGCTGGTTTCTGTCCCCTTGTTGTCCTGGACCACGCCTGGACCACGTTGCACCCAATTGGTAGCCCTGAGAGGGACGGGCTCCGAACGACCCCAGACAGCCCCCAGAACGCACTTTGGCGGCCACAACGAGAAATGTCAGCCGAACGAAACAAAACAAACTAAACAGTGTCTGATAAAGGTCTACAGTAGATGGCAAAGCAGACGCGGAACAACGTCACGGGGCTGAACCTCCGCCGTCGACGTCTCTGGGAATTCACAGTTGCACTAGCGGAGGCGGCCACGGAAATGACAACAAAATCATGCGAGCCGTGGCCCCGTAGGAGGCTCAGCTTAGGGCCCAACTGGGCCCGAATGCCTTGTCTACGCCTTTTCGGCGCATTCGTCACACTTGTCGTGGCCCCATAGAGAGCTCCACCGAAGCCCACTTTTCCAGGGCCCGCATGCCTGGTCCATGCCATTCTGTCGCACCCCTCACACGTATCGTGGCTCAGGCCTCAATGGCTGGGCGTGCATGCGTGGTCCACACCACCCCGGCGCACCCCTCACACGTTTCGTGGCCCCAGAAGGGGGCTCCTCCTAAGGCATCAGAGCCAGGGCCCGCACGCCTGGTCCACACGATTTCGGCGAACCCCTCACACGTTGCGTGGCCCCACAGGAAGCTCCACCGAAGGCCCCAGCGGCTGAATTCGCAGACCTGGTCCACACGATTTCGGCGCACCCCTCACACGTTTCGTGGCCCCGTATGGAGGCTCCACCTAAGGCTCTAGCGCCAGGGCCCGCACGCCTTGTCTTCACCACTTCGGAGCACCTCTCACACCTTTCGTGGCTCCGTAGGGAGCTCCACCTAAGGCCCCAGCAGTTGAGCCCGCATGCATGGTCCACACCACTTCGGCACACCCCTCA